CAGTTAAGCCCACGGAGGGCTCCTGATCCCGAGTTAAGCCCAGGAAGGGCTCCTGTTCCCGAGTTAAGCCCATGGAGGGCTCTTGATCCCCAGTTCAGCCCAGGAAGGGCTCCTGCTCCCGAGTATAGCCCACGGAGGGCTCCTGACTCCCCGAGTATAGCCCACGGAGGGCTCCTGACTCCCCGTTAAGCCCACCCCCTCAAGAGCACGCTCCTCCTGAGTGACCACAAGGATACCTAGTTTTCCCCAAGAAGATTTGGGGGGGGGGGCATATGTCCGTGGCCGTGGTGGCCGAGCCGGCTAAGGCCACGGAGGATCCGCCATGGCCTCCCGAGTCCCCTGCTCCGCCATGGCAACCCAAACTGCCTGCTCCGCCATGGCTTCCTGATCCGCCCTGGAGGCTCTCCTTGTCTCCGCCCTGTCCCAATCCTGCACCAGCCTCCAGGGCGCCCGCCCCCCCATCCCCGATGGGACTGTTACGGTGCGGGACGCGCCATCCGGGAGGGGGGCGATCTGTCACATGTATGTTCCTGTCCTCGTCATGTGATTTTCGTCTCCTGTTGTATGTGATTAATTAGTTCATTTGTCCCAAGTGTTTCCCATGAGGTTTCATTGCTCCCAGGTGTGTCTCGTCATCCCCTCCTCCTGTGTGTATAAATAGTGTTCCCTGTGTTTGCTCCAGGGTCCGGTATTGTTTGTATACTCCTCGTGCTACGTGTGATTCCCCGTGAAGATTAATAAATTCCTTGGTTTTTGTACTCTTGGTCTCCTCACTCCTTGCTTCGTGTTCCCGCGCCGTAGCAGATCGTGACAAGAACATTCTCTCAGCCACATTAGGAGAATGTTATAAGGATGTTATTGAGGCCTGAGATTGTGTAATGTTTTTATAAAACGTTCTTGTAATGTGAAATATTAACAAAGCTAGAACATTTGACCTGCAACATTTTGAGGATGTTACCCTAGAGTGCAGACTTAGTGGATCCAAAAGCTGCATAGGGCACATTTATGCACATTTCCTTTGGCTTTGAGCTGCCAAAAAAGCTTCATATAGACAACATGAAAGTTCTCAGTTCTATGTAAGGGAATGCTAAAATGTGTTACAACTTACCCCACCCCTGTCATCCAATGTTTAGTTAGCTGTATTAGCATTATGGTTTGAAATTAGCAGTTTAAAAATGCATCACATTTTGCCTGAGAATCTATCATTTATTCTAGTGTAAGTTATATGATTTTATCTTTAAGTACTATGTAAAATATAGTTTTGGTCAAATTTAGATTTTTACATCAAAACCAGTTTTTTCTTTATAAAATCTGCATATACCTATTTACAGCCTTGACAACCATTCATATAAAATCAGGGTGAAAGTGGGTAAATAATGAAATTATCATAGGTGGAAATGGTGCTGTTACAACTCTCCCATGTTACAACCAGACCCGGTCTCCCCTAATGTTCTCAATAAAACATTGACACAATGTTTCAAGACAAGAACATTCTCTCAGCCACATTAGAACATTATAAGAACATCATTGAGGCCAGAGGATATGGAATATTTGTATAAAACGTTCTTGTAATGTGAAATATTAACAAAGCTAGAACATTCTATCTGCAACATTTTCGTGTTCTCAATAAAACACGGGCACAATGTTTCTAGATAACAAAGGAAGAACATTCTCTCAGCCACATTAGGAGAACGCTATAGGAACATCACTGAGACTTGAAATTGTGTAATTTTTTATAAAACGTTCTTGTAATGTGACAAAGCTAGAACATTTAACCTGCAACATTTTAAGGATATTTTGAGGATGTTGTTGAGGTGACAGAATATAATATTCTCAAAACATTGGCACAATGTTTCAAGATGACAAAGGAAAAACATTTTCTTAACCACTGGCAAACTTTATACAGTGCATCCGGAAAGTTTTCACAGCCTTATTCCAAAAAGGATTAAATTATTTTCCTCAATTCTACAAACAATACACCATAATGACGTGAAAACCTGAAAGTAGTTTGTTTGAAATCTTTGCAAATTAAAAATAGAACAAAAATAAAATCATATGTGCATAAGTATTCACAACCTTTGCTCAATACTTTGTTGAAGCACCTTTGGCACCAATTACAGCCTCAAGTCTTTTGGAGTATGATGCAACAAGCTCGGCACACCTATTTTTGGGCAGTTTCTCCCATTCTTCTTTGCAGGACCTCTCAAGCTCCATCAGGTTGGATGGGGAGTGTTGGTGCACAGCCATTTTCAGATCTCTCCAGAGATGTTCAGTCGGGTTCAAGTCTGGGCCACTCAAGGACATTCACAGAGCTGCCCTGTAGCCACTCCTTTGTTATCTTGGCTGTGTGCTTAGCATCGTTGTCCTGTTGGAAGATAAACCGTCGCCCCAGTCTGAGGTCCAGGTTTTCATCAAGGATGTCTCTGTACATTGCTGCATTCATCTTTCCCTCGATCCCGACTAGTCTACCGGTTCTATGGGATTACATTTCTGCCACATTTCTGCGTGCGAAAGATCATATTTTGAGCGTACAAAAGTGCATTTTGCACGCGCTCGATCTGAGTTTTGTGGAGAAAACGTTCGCGTCGCAAAGAAGAAAGAATTTCGAGCGCACGAAAATCAATTTTGCATTTAAAAAGTGCATGCATAATTATTATGCAAGTTGATATTCTGATCATATTTTTTTCCAAGCACATTTTACCAATTCCAAACGACATCAATCTTAATAACTTCTATTAATCTTGTATTTAATCACTTATAATCTATACATTAT